TCCTGAAGAGAGCCACAGCTCCTGCTGGCTCAGCCGGTTTGGGTCGTTGTTCTCTTCATGAAAAAGTTCTGGTGTCATCGGTATCAGGCTATCGCAGATTTCCCAATCATCAAAAATAGATCTGATCTTGGGCTTTTGGTATAAACCAGCGTGTTTCTCCAGACATGTGAGCAGTGTGTAACATAATAGACTTGTCTTATCGTGTGTGGAAGTTAATATAACAAGCAATGAAAAAGAGCATGCATCCATAAAGATCTGTGGTTAATTTCCTGTTCTGTTTCTCTCGACTATAGAGGTTTCACAGGAAATTACGTACATTTTTTAACAATTGAGCAACTGGAAATCAGAAAATTACATTTATTTTGAAAGTTTCTAGATTGCTTACACTACTTTAATGTTTAACTTCCTGTCTGAGCTGCAGAGGTTCACATGTTCTCAAAGCGCTACGCTTCGAGAAACGTGACGCTTCGCCGCTGGTGGGAAGGCCCCAGTCCGCTATAATGTTGACTAAATGATGCGACGTACGTTTCGCGGACGTTAGCCAGCAACTGTGCATCAGGTAGAAAGGAGGGGTTAGTCTTCAGCTGTTTAGTGCTGATTATGTGCAAGAAGTTTATTTTTCTGAAAGTCCAATAGCTTCACAAACTGCAGGTTAAAAAAAAACAACAAAAAAGTGGTCACCTGAAGGTACAGTGGGCAGGAAATGACAAATATTTTTATATCACGTCTAGGGCTGGGGGTACACGATTATTTTTATAACGATTATTCTGACGATTATTTTATCGAATAATCGACTATTCTAATGACAATTTAGAAAATTAATCTAATGATTATTTTTCTATTGCACAATTAACAAAAACCAGAAAATCTCAAATAAATTCCTCAAAAAAATTGATAAATTGTTACTGTAAGAGAATAAACACTACAGGCCTTCTATTTTGTATAAAACTGCTTTTATTGTGTTGCGGTTGGTTATGTTCTGGTGACGTGTAGATCTTGGGAGTGCAGGCTGCTGCCTGAGAGGTGGTAGAAGATGGAGTGTCTCCATGCTGCTTTGTTTTGGTCACTTATGTGCGTGAGGCAAGTGGTGTTATGACTCCCTGGGGAGTTTGGCTCGTGTGCAAAAAGGAAGGGACAATAACGGGATTTAAAAGTTAAAATGATGATCAGGTTTATGTACAACAACAACAAAAATCATAAATCTTTCCATCCACAGGTTGGGAATAATTAAACTAATTCTGCCTGTGGGGAATTAAAACAAAAGTACAAATAACTAGGGATGTCCCACTGGGCAAAGATTACTGGGTTCTGGACCAAAATAAGAATCTCCAAAGGTCCAACTCTAAACTGGGTGGTTAAACCAAACTCAGTTGATATTTTACACTAAACCGAAAACCCACAACACTCTAAATGTAATAAAAGGGAGATCTGCACCACAAAAAAGATGAACTCTAAACCAAAACATAACAGCTTATCCAAACGTAAGAAGCTGTTAGCGAAGATGCTAACAGTAGCTTTACCAACGTTAAGTTCAAGTTACCAAGTTTAAATAAACCAAAAACACCCAGCAGCAAACAGACCAGCACGGAGGAGAGACTGCTACCACCAAAACAGCTCTCCTCATGTCTGAAAGAAGCTCCTTTATGAAGGGAGAAGCGCTCCCGGTGATTTTCTACATCTGTGATAGAGACGGAGCAGCGCATCTGACCCCGGAAGTTGTTGTCCGTTGCCGGGAGACAAAGGCAGGCAAAACAGGAAAGGAATCTAGTAGTGGACGGACATTGTTCCGGGTCTTCGGTATTTGGTGGAGATGTTAGTGAAGGCGGAGAAGAGGGCGAACTAGAGGGAAAACAGGCAGATTCCTCCTCTATTTACAAACTCCTGGGGATGCAACAAGTGGGCGTGGTCCGTCGATCACCGGATCTGACGTCGACAAATTTTTAGAATCGAGCCGTCGACGTCATCGATGCGTCGCCACAGCTCTAATCACGTCACACATAAATCAGCATGTGGTCGGCTGCGAAGTTCCCCAAAAGTGTCCCCAGGTGAGTTTTCGTTAAAGATCCCCCAGTCCTCATGCCGGTTGTGTCCCCCACTTCTAAAGTGAAATCTACGCCCATGGTGGCTGATGTGCTGTAGTAAAGGGAGACCAGATTACCCACAAATGGAGAAACCATCCCGCGTCGCTGAGTTTTCCGCTTCATGTTTAAATCTTACACAAACTGTGAGGAGAAAGCTGTGGCTGTTAATCCAGCAGCGTGCGCGACTTCACTCAGGTCTGGAGCATGTCGTGCACCAACCACAACAACAAAAGGAAAGACACAGAGAGCGTGGAGGTGAGACAGGTGAGCGTGGAGGTGAGACAGGTGAGCGTGGAGGTGAGACAGGTGAGCGTGGAGGTTTCATAAAGACTGAACTTGTGGCTTAAAGCTTTCCAGGGCGACTCTGACAGACTGTGTGATTTCTCCAGCCTCATGTTGGTCCAAAGCAGGTTTCCCAGTAATTAGACAGGTCCCTCATGCTGAAGCCCAAAGACAATTCTACAGAGGAGGTGCTGGGGTTGTCTGTTCAGATACATGCAAATCAAACCCTTTTACATCACATTAAAAAACAGTTATAATTTAATTGAATCCTTGATTGTTGATTCGTTTTAGAATTCTGACTAAAAATGTCAGATCTCCAAGATTGGATGGTTTTTTTTGTCTTTTTTCAGAGGTTGTAGTGATCTCTTTATTCCTCCTCCCTGAATATCTACTAAATGAGATTTTTTATTTTAGAAGAAAAAAAACATCATTTTGTTTCCAATCAGTTTAAAACTTAAGAGACAGATTTTTTTCAATGGGGCGTTGATTAAAAATACTTAAATCAACCCAAAAAGATTACTGGTACTTTTAGTTGCAATTCCAACCAACGTTTACCCCCCTGAGCATCCTTAATTAGAAAACTACAACAACCTGGACTAGCTCACTTCCCACTGATGGCAGAGTCCTTGCAACATGATTCGTGATTTGTGAAAGTTAAAACATTGATTTCAGCATTTTACTTATTTATTTATTTAGGTCTATTTGTGTTGCATCTGGACCGCATGGTCCAGCTCAAAAACCACACCAGTATCCCTGAAGTCCGGTATCTGGCAAGTTTTAGTAGTTCCCCTACTCCAACACACTTAACTCACCTGTTCAGCAGCTCATCAAGCTTTGCAGACGGCTGTTAATCACCTGCTGATTACCATCAGGTGAGTTGAAGCAGTAAAAACAGAAAAAGTGCTGGGCACGGGCCCTTGGGGATTGAACCTGATTACAGTGACAGCAGACTCTACATAGTTTTCTTGATTTGTGGAAAAGGATGTTTTACTTTTATTTTACAAATGTGACAATGAAATTGTGTTAACTGTACAAAACTGAACCTTTGCTCAGTTCTCTGGCGCTCAGCACCCCTAAAGCTCTGATGCTATAACCGCCCCTGGTTTTACAGTTGAACCAAGACAAAAGGTGTAAGGGTATTTATGTAGAACACCTGGCTCCTGAATGGAGCAGTATTTAATATCATAACTACGCATTAGAAAAAATATGTGATAAAAAGTCTTATGGATTTGTTGAAATGGAAGTTTCATAAAACAACAAATGACTTTTGTAAAACTGTGTTTAGTTTTGGATTAAGGCCGCTGACACACAAGCCCTGCAGAGTTACAGAGGACAGCGCTACACTAAAAGTATTTTTACAAATGTGTACGGTTCAGCTACAAGTGGTATATTCCTAAATGACACGACGGATCATCTCCCTATATTTGGAATTTTGCTAAGTTCATTAGATAACACTTCAGTTGCAAATAATGAGTCCACACATAAATGAGTGAGAATAAGGAGTTGAGGCTTTAAAGGTAGACTTCGCAGATTGTGCTGCTTGGGAAGACGTGCATGTGGAGGATGTGAGTTTGGGATTATCCTTTAAACTAAAATCTTCTCATACGTTTATATTTCATTCATCTTTTTCCAAAAATATACCAAATAAAATAGAGATTTTCTTTCAGATTCAAAGTTTCACTCATTTATTTTTAAAGAATTTGAATAGTTTAAGAAACTTTATTCTGGACTTTTATATTTTTAGAAGAAATAGAATTTATTCTATTTAATTTACTTATTTATTCATTTACATTTCAGGTTCAGTCTCTTTCCCTTCAATAAATTTAAACTGAAATTATTGTTAATGCATTAGATTAAAGTTCATCTATTTTGCATCAGAACAGTTTCAGAAAATGTATTTTGTTTATTTAAAGTTTGGTTTTCCTCCAGTCAAATATTTATAGAAGAATCAGCAGAAGTTTAAATTATTGTCTTTTATTATTTATATATTTTATATAAAATTGCTCATGAATCCGGGTAAAACTCCACCTAAACTCTAATTTATCTTTTGTCATCTCTGTGATTTTTATTTCTCTTTGCTACCACCTGGTGGCTAAAACGCGTCAGTACACAAACGTCACTTATTCACAGATTTCTGTCAACAAGAGTTTATTTACAAAACACACCTAATATATGGAAACACGCTTTAGTCAAAACGAGAAGCTCAGTGTGGATAAAGTTTGCTTTTTATGAGTCTGTTGCTGCTATTCACGCCGTAAATGTTCATCAACACATTTCATAATCTTCTTAAAGCAGGCAGCAGTACTATCTCATCTTTAGCGGTTTTCAGACCGTCTTAAAGAAAACTCAAACGCTGTGATTACAGAGCAGAATCGGGTCAATGTTCCGTTTGTGTGAAAAAGTCCAAAAATACCCATTTGAACCTCAGAAATACTTTTCTGTTATTGTCCATAAAGTTACGCAACTTTAAATTCTCCAACTTTAACATAAAAACCTGAACTTTGTCTAAGAAAATAAACTAAAAATTTACTTTATAGGACTTTGAACATGAATGTAGCTTCCTGATCAAAATTACAGCAGATCGGCACAATTTAGACATTTAAATTCCCCCCCCCCCACACACACACACACACACACCCCATCACCCCCCCTCCCCCTCCCAGTTTTTACATCGCATACATGATTTAGGGAACATACCTGAACTAGCTGAGGGTTTATTTGTCACATCGTTTAGATTTGAACCCTAATTTCTGCTCACAGCGACAAGTTCCACTGTGGATTATGGATCCACCAGAAGGCATCAGGGTCTATGAAAGGTCAAAGGTCAGGACAAGGAAGGTTTAGGTTGGTATTTCACTCTGTTGAAGTCGTCAGTGGTTGTTTCTACCGGAGGCGTCCTCCAGTATTCCTCCAGACCCAGAGAGAGACACAGACCGATGGCCGTAATCTAAAAACACACACACGCACACACACACACACACACACACACACACACACACACACACACACACACACACACACACACACACACACACACACACACACACACACACACACACACCGTGAGGGGATAAGAGCTACGGCGTAGTTATTTATAACCTGTCTTTGAAGATCTAACTGAATTAGAGTTGTACACGGTCTGGGCCGCAGAATCTGAGATTTATGTCAGTTTTAATTAAATTTCTTTTCCTTGTTTGTTGTGATGTAATGCCTCTTAAACGGTAACATGTTTAACATGGTAATAGAGTTTGTCGCCACGGTAACAGAGTCCGTCGCCACGGTAACAGAGTCTGTGGACTGAACCTGCTTGTCGAAAGGTTTAATTGCAGAAACGGACCCCAAACAGCTGACCCATACGAAGCAGAGCGCCTCCATCACTACGTCAGGAGAGGATTTTCTGACTCCACTGGACGAGTTCATTCCCAGATGTTTTGAGGGCTATAGTGGCGTCGTGTTGAAACAGAAACAGCCTGTAAATCAGGAACCTTCTAAAGTGTAGATGTGTCCTGGTCGGATGGACAAACAAACATGGAGACCCGAGGTACGCGGGGTCCACTGAACCAGACACACTCGGGCTTTCTCACAGATCGAATCAGAATGTGTTTTCTGAAAAAGCCGAAGAACTAAAGAAAATCTGATTTTAACAAAAGCCGTAACAATTAACAAATGGTGATTTTATTTTACCGTCAGGGTGGCGAAAGCTGAGATGATTCCGATTCGGAGCTTTACGGGGAAACTCAGGTAGCTCCTGAGGATCAGACCACAAGGCTGAAAACACAAACATAAAAAAATCAACATTTATTTACACCCATGGAGCCATAATCCGGCTCTGCTTGGGACCATTTACCTTGGAGTGGACCCAACTTTTATCGGAGGACTTTGGGTCCGATTGGTGCCTGGTGACCATCACACAGGATCCATCTGAGCTGGCGTTGCGGAGCAGAGAGCTGAAGACCAAGAGGAGCAACAACAGAGTTTCAAAAATATCTGAAGATAATGAAACGATGGAAAGTAATTAAAACATCACTCATGATTGTTTTCATGAGTTTCCCCTGAGCACAACAAATACACACATAAGGAAAGTTGCCATGGTGATCCTATGTTTCCCGGATACTAAAGCACAATAGTACACCAAATATAGAAATATAGTTTTAATTCTGTCCAGGTTAGAAAAAAAACATCGTTATGAACACATTACAGGTCTTTCTGGACAGATTGATGGAGTTACATCTCCTTCTCATGGAAGTGAGTCCCTCATGCCAACGTGGATCCCAGGAATGCAGTCAGGGGATTAAAATGTCAGTGAAATCCTGTTTCAGGAATTCTTTCAGTGTGCTGAAACACAAACTCCACAAGCCTAAACTCATTCTTTTCATATTCTGCTAAAAATATTCAACTTTTCTCCCGTACTCCCCCGTGACATCGACAAATAACTCAAATATAAACAGAAGACTTCCTGAATCTCCCGGAGGCTTTCCCTCGTTGTGTCTTACCTCAGGACTGATTCCGAAGCAGGAAGTGAACAGAAGCAGGATTCGGGGAGTTGATTCTGCCAGTCTTCAAAACTCCTCAAACCGCAGCAGGAGTCCTTGGGCCCAAACGTTAGAACACGGTCGGTTAAGGATCGTAAGAACATTCAAACGTCTCTACAGGAGCAAAAACCAACATTTATCATTCAGTGAAAGGAACGTTGGGCTGAACCTGATCCTTACTGAAGTCTGGAGTTTCTCCAGCTCACTCTGGATGTACGAGTCAGCTCGATGAAGAGGAGTCGTGTTCAGAAAGATGTCATCCACCATGCGGTCCATCTGCAGGAAGATATTTACACGTTTCGGCAGCGATTCCCCAGAAGGGATTTGAAAGATGGAAAATTGTTGCAACTGTGAATGCTGGATGGATCATCCCTATTATCTTAAATAAAGACAAGCACACGGAAAATTACTAGATTTGATGTGTCTTTATTAGTGGACTTGACCAGCCCAGACGACCAATCAGGTCTGTCGGATTAACAACGTCCCCTCTGGGGGAGGAAGGCTCAGTGTGGGAGCGGGTAGGCCCTCTCATCCCAGCTGACTCTCTGACATTTGTCATGTTTGAACTTAAGACCCTGAAAATGTGGATTTTAAATAAATGTACTTGAAAAGCAGCAGGACTACAAAACGTTGCAAAACATCTGGGTGTAGGAAACCACAGGTGAGGGATTACTAACGAGGACAATGGGGCACAGTGATGCAGGATCTGGGTGAGAAAAATCTAAACACACCCAAAGACTAAACACCTTTATTTCCTTTGGAGCTAAAACGGTTTCAGTATGCAGGATTTTAACGTAAATCTGAGAACAACCTCAGAAACGTTGCTGCTTTCTGGACATCTGAGTAGCATTGTGACTTGTAATGAACTATGCAGCCAGCATGGGGCACCAGAGGCGTGAGAAACAGGTTACCTCGGCTTGAACTTGAACCAGCGGTGAGGCCACGACCATCAATGCCACAAACTCCACAAAAATCAGAGCAGAGAACTGGAGACGACAAAGAAGCGATCAGTTCACTTCAAACGCTAACAGCAGCTTTACCGAGGCCACGCTATTCTGGAGACTCGTCCAGGAGAACCCGCTTAGATCAGCGAAAAACACTCAAACTAGTTCAGTCAACAAACAACAGGTGAGCTTCGTGTGTGTGTGTGTGTTCTTGTTTAACTGTCTTTGCGAGGACCCGCTGGTAAACACCCTTAACTGGGACATTTATGTAAAAAAAAGGATGTTTAGATTTCTGACTGACCAGGTTTTAAAACTCAAGTTTGTGCCATCCAGGACTTAACAGACAGACAAACATGCCGTTCTCTCACCATCAGCAGCAGAGGTTTGTAGTTTGAAGACGCACCACAAATGCCCAGAACAGACAGAACCACTGTGATTGGACCAAACACCTGCAGCACCAGTAAACCGTCACCAATGGACAACTGGTCAAATAACTGGAGGAAAAGACAACAAGAAGTCATAAAACATGTCTGAACTCAAATAAATGTCCCATTTATACACGTAACTTCCTGTTTACAGTCAGTCTCTGAAAAAAAACACATTCTTTCAAAAAACCTTTTCTAAAGGTTTTATTTACCAACATTTTTATTATGTTGCTGAAATGTTTGGTGTAACTGGACAAGAGAAGGACAAACAAGAAATTCAGGTCTAATAGGACAAAACAAAACGAAGGTGAGTTTTTATTAAACACCTGAGCCCGGACCACACTAACACCACCCGACAGGTGCTGTTAGTCACATCCTCGCTCCAGCAGGCGACGCCTCCTTTAGAAGGTGTGGGTGGAGCAACACTCTGGTAGGGGGTGACTTGCTCTTTAAACCTCAGCCCTTTGTTAAAAGTCAGTTTCCCTCATCAGACAAAGATGGCATCTGGAACGGTCCAGTACTCAAACGAGTCTTGCGTGTCCTTCAGATTCAACCAGACTGGGCCTCTTGAGGTTACGACATGGGAATGTTTTTGTTTTGGACCCAAACAACCCTCTGTGTGTGTAGGTGTGTGTGTGTGGGGGGGAGGGGTTACATGTGAATACATGGAGCAGCGGTTCCCAAACTTATTTAGCCGCACACCCCCTTCTATGTCCTGACCATGTTGACGCACCCCCAGCCCTCACATCAGGGCATGGTATATGATATGATATGATGGTCTGATATATATATATATATATATATATATATATATATATATATATATATATATATATATATATATATCAGACGTCAAGCTAAACAGTCATTCGACAGACAGGGTTAAAAAAAAGGACCGACCTATTTCCCCATCACTTTCATTTTTTATATAGTAATTAATAAACATTCAATACCATTACCATTTCCTTTGATTTAATTTTAAATAAATATTTAGAGTGCCCAGGTAGCACGTAAACAATGCAATTTAACGGTTTTCTTAAAGCAGGAACGTTTAACCAGTGGCCAGAGCGCTCTCCTTCCTTCTGCTCTGCGTAAACCTGAGCTGATCACCTACTTGTGTGTAATCAAATGTCTATAGGGGAAAAGATGGAAAAGCCATGAGGTTCACTTTTGCTTCAGACCGACTTATTGCTGTTTTATGGTGTGGCTGAATCTGCGATCCGCTGCCACGCGGACTGGAATAACAAATGCTGCAGTAACATGAGTTGTAGTCAGGTTCATGAGGAGTCACTGGCTGGAGCGGACCCGACTTTAATACGTCATCCCAAAATAGAAGCTAATATCTTAATTTGACCTTGAATGAAAAATGTTACAAAACCTCTTAAAAGTTTTTATCACGGAGGAGGCAGCGCTCATTTCTGCCTTCAGTCTGACGGCACGCCAGAGTTTACGCAGCGTGCGTGCTTATTGAATCTGTGTGTGTGTGTGTGTGTGTGTGTGTGTGTGTGTGTGTGTGTGTGTGTGTGTGTGTGTGTGTGTGTGTGTGTGTGTGTGTGTGTGTGTGTGTGTGTGTGTGTGTGTGTGTGTGTGTGGCACAGCTCCATGAGCCGCTCCAGTCACCGCGTCTCGTTATTGGTGCTATTTAAACCAATGTTGTAAAATTACTTCTACCCAGCCCAGATGTGCTCACATGTGCACCCGTGAGCCGTGGTTCCGCTGGAACGCGTCTGACCTCTGACAGATGCACTCTGAACTTCAGATCTTCAGCGCGCTGTTGATAGCCCGACACATTTAGAATGCTGTCCCACAGTCAGTGTGCTAATATAATAATATAATAATGCTAAAATGCTCAGATGGGAATCATTTCTTGATTTATTTAGTTACATCCACAATGTTCTGTGTGTGAGGTTTACAACGTCAGAACACCTGCATGAGACAGGTGTTAATTACAATCTGCCAGAATGACTCACCACCTTCAGATTTCCCCAACAGCTTTAAAAATGATCAAATACGAAATATATCTTGCTATTGACAGCGTGCGCAGGTCAGAGCGCTGAAGCTCGGCGCATTATTATTATGAAGCTAGGGCACATGCGGAGGACACACACACACACACACACACACACACACACACACACACTCACACAAGATATACTTGTTTTCAATTACATTTATTGGGCCCACTTAAGTTTTCTTAGGCCCACCCACAAATGAGTTTCTGGCTACGCTAACGGTGACATCTGACCGACTTCTCTGAGCTCCGCAGCCATTACACTTTTCACCTCATGCACCCCCTAACGGCAGCTCGCGCACCCCCAGGGGTGCACGCACCACACTTTGGGAATCCCTGACATGGAGGAACTTTGAGTTTAAATGTCTGAAACTCCAGAATTTTTGATTCTATTAATGAATGAATGTTGGCTGGATTTGGGAATGATTTGGGAACATTCAGACATTTTTCCAGGATGGTTTTGTTTATTTCATCATCATCAATCACACATCAGCCTCAAACAGGTGTGAATCCTGCCCTAACCTGCCTCCAGCTTACACTCTTTCCTTCGGCAGTGACAGGATTCCTCCTGAACTCGACCGACGAGCCCATTCAAAGACACACAGGCCGTCAGGGAAGTCATAAACCACAGCGCTGTAGACATGTTCATCCAGAAGGAATGTGGTACTTTTAACACTTCATCAGCTGTTTCTGTGTTCTAAAACCAAAAAAGTCCATTTTTGTTTTCATTTATAGTCTTGTCCTTTAGAAAAAGGTTCCGATGGACCAATAAGAACAACAGGTGAGTGTGTGTTTTGTTACAGGTGAGTGTGTGTTAAATGGGCACATTTACCTCTGCTACGGGCACGTTGCCATCAATAGAGGAAAATCCGACTCCAATCATCACCATGCCGGACACCTGCAGAGAGAACCAGGAGTGACTTCAGAGGAAAACTTGGATTTCACTCCGATGGTAACAACATTCCTCTGAACCAGCTCTTCGTCCCCGGAGACTCTGATCAGACTCCCATCAGCTGATGTCTCACATTTACAGACATCACATTTTCTCAGCAACAGTCGTGGAAATTTCCCATGCATGCTTAGTCTTTCGTCTTTCCAGCTTCATTAACTGCTGTGGTGTTCCTGATGAGGTCCTAAACATCATACGCGTTTATGCAGAAGGCCCCAAACAGCAACAGGGTACAGGTGGAAACGATAATTCTTCTGTTTTTGTCTCTAAATGTTTCAGATGAGCAGCACTCGGGTGAAAACTACGAGTTGCATTTTCCCCGGTTATGTTTGTTGATCTGAAACGTTTAAACGGCAACAACATCAAACAACCTGCTCGTGGAAGCAAAAGAACAAAGATATGAACAAAAAACCTCTGAATGAAATCCAAACTACTGTCAAATTCAACATCAGAAACACACGGACCAAACACACCCGTCTGTGCAGGACTCGTTGTTATGATGACGGATAGAACCATAAATACGAGGGGACCTGTCAGGGTGGAAGAGGAGCACGCTCCGTAATCAGCCGTAATCAGCCGATAAGCAGCAGCGGGGACAGGAAGCAGGAATAATGTCGGAACAAACGACCAATAGCAGCAGAAAGCTTCTGAAGTCAAGCGTGACATTCACCCTGTTCCCACAAACACACATCCATTACTTAGTGCTAGTTAAAGAAAACAATCCAGATGTTGTAGTACAGAAACATCTGGAAAAAAACAGGTGAGGCAGCGAAAAGTAGGCGGGAAGACGACCGTAGGAACAGGAAGTAAACAGAGATTAGCCACTAATTACACCGCTAAACAAACATCAGCACATAGTTTCTGAATCATTTTAAAATAACTCGTTTATTTTCTGAAGCTGTTGTAAGAAACCGTCCCTGATCTCCGGACCAGAAACCTTTCACAGCCACCAAATTCATATTCCTGACGGAATCCAACGTATTAAAACTGATTTTGTTTGTTTTGGTCCTTTTCTACAGGCTAACTAACCCGAACGCCGACCAGTCAAACTCAGAATAAACAACCTGAACTAGAATGCCACCTGAGGGTGGATGTTTGTTGTCTTTGACACCAACCTAGAATACATAAGGTTTAAACGTGAGGGCTGGACTCAGCACCTCTCACAGTGGACATGTTTGTGAACACGGAGCGCAGTACCCAACTGTGACCACATGATGTCATTCTTTCATCATGCTCCGGTCGAGATGGTCCGGTCGGGTTTTCAGTTCCTTCATGTGTTCACCTTCAGCACATCGTGACAGCGTGTTTGTGTTTTGTATCTATGCTGTTGCCTCCGACGATGGCCCGTTCTGAAAGGCTGTCTTGTCTTAAACACATCAGTGTCAGGAAACAAAGTGTTAAACTTTCTTCAGTTGTTAATAATTTACCAAATAAATTCACGTTACTGTTTGGGATGAAGAACGTTCACTGAGCATGTTGTTGCTAGGAGAATGAGCATTCGTTTTATTTTCTTTGGTCATTTTTATGAAAACATTTTTCAAGTTAAAAAGTTCTAAATTCAAGTTAAATTAATACTTAATATTTGAAGCTAGAAACAGACAAAAACATAATCGTATCTGGACAATAAAGAACCGCTTTAACAGGATTTGTACCTTCTTCAAAAGCTGCAGCCTTCTGCCCCCTGTTGGAGAAACTAAATACTGCAGGTGGCCAGTTATATTTGTTTTTGTTATATTGTTTAATAATTACAAAAACGTCGTTGGAAATATGATTCCTAAACCAGCATAAGCCAATCATTGTTTTAGTAAAAAAAAAACAGCCTTATTTCATATTTCAGATGATGAAGAGTTAGATAAACAAACATGAGATTTCATGTAAATAAACATTTTATTCTGAGAACAGAAAAAGGTCCAAGGGAACTGAATATGTTATTAAACAACTATTTATCAGACATCACAGAGGTTGCTCCCATCATCAGCTGCCTGTCACACATGTAGCATGTAGCATGTAGCATGTAGCTTACCAACAGCAGCACTGTGACGCAGATGGCGAGTCCTCGTAGGTGACTCCAGCAGCGAGCCATGACCGGCGTCTGAGAGAGCTGAGCTGAAATAGAAACAGAGGAAAGACCAGAGCCAGGAGTGTGTGTGTGTGTGTGTGTGTGTGTGTGTGTGTGTGTGTGTGTGTGTGTGTGTGTGTGTGTGTGTGTGTGTGTGTGTGTGTGTGTGTGTGTGTGTGTGTGTGTGTGTGTGTGTGATGGATGTTGTTTAAAGCTCAGGAGCGTTTGGCTGCAGCCAGAAGAACATGACCAAGTTTGGAAGCCCAGCTGGGAGGAGAGGAGGGAAGCAGTCGCTCCAGGCTTCATTCAGCTCCAATTAAGAGAAATGATCAGAGGACGGAGACCTGGGGGGAGGGGTTGCTTCTGAATCCAGCTCTGCGGTCGGATCTGACTTCATGTGGAGTTCGGGACCAACACTCTTCTGAAACAAGGAGAGGCAGGTCCAGAGCCCTCTCACAGGTTGCCTCAGGAGAACCAGGACCGACCAGCTCACGTAGGAGGGGTCATTTCAACATGACACATCCTAAATCTGAACTATCTACCCATCCATTTGTTAAACTTGAAACCAAATTTGAGTCCTGGAGTAACCGGATCTGGGATGGACAACTCAGACCTTCTCCTGGAGTATCCTGAGGTTCTGTGTCTGCCCCAGGTCTCTGTCCAGGTGCCAGAAAACCTCCAGAGGAGATGAGACACCTGAGACCACCTCGGCTGTCTCATCTCAGCATGAGAACATCCAAGCTCCTCCCCCTATCTCCAAGGCTGAGCCTGACCATACAGCAGAGGAAACTCAGTTCTTGGTAAATAGTCTGTTTTTGTACAGCACCTTCTGGGGTTCTACAACCGCCCAAGGTGCTTTACAACAAGTCATTCACCCATGCATGCTGGTGGTGGTTGGAGGGACCGGTGGATTCTGTCAGTGTGTCCCATGCAGCTGTGGCTACAGTGTAGATCATCACCACGTGTGTGAGCGTGGAAATGGCTGGTGTGTTGTAATGTGCCTTGGGGGGTTGCTATATACTTGTTTTACCATTCAAGACTGGATCAGCATGACATTAATGCCCCAGTCCACTGGTCCATCTCCCCTCCATCCCACCACCTCTCAGGAACAGGAGACCAAGGTCCAAGAGGTCCTTCTGGGCTGAAGGCTCAGTCCCACCCAGAAGGAAACAGAGGCTGTCTTTCAGGATATCCGACTTGCTTTTCATTCAAAAGGAAGAATGAATAAAAATATAAAGCAGGGAAATTTTATGGGTGAAGTATTCCACACATCAGAGGAACGCTCCTCATATCAACCGTGAGCTGGACACAAACCAGACACCCAGTGGAAACATCTACTGGGTAAGAATGGAAACCCTCAGCGCGTCGTTTGATCGAAGGATTAATGTTTTGTTGTGACACCTCGTTGGCCTAGATGGTGGTGAAGAACAGCAGAACGTTAACATAACTTCCAGGTTCTTATCTTGGTTTACCCCTTTAATGTCCACCAGCGGTCTCCATCCGGCAGCTCTGGAGACTTGTGGCCCTTCAGCTCCTGGGACACCAGGAAACTGTAGCTTTAGATGCTTTCTGGTCCAAATCTTTGCATTAAATTCCTGAAATTTCTGCAAAAGCACAATAACACAAGGAGGGCACCTTGATCGACGCCCCAAAACTAGCTAACCTTGGCATGAGCGTTGTTTTTGTGTCAAGGCTAAAAGTTTGTTCGCTCGCTCTTCTTCGTGGTTTTGTGACTTTAGACACACCAGAGGGCTGTTCCACCAGTGAGATAATCCCATCCCGGCTTCATTTCCCCAAATCTGGTTCCACGAACGAGGCTAACCAGAAGCCCCGCCCATTCACCATGGTGACGTATGAATGAGGTACAACATGAATCAGTGTTTGAAGATTTTTTTGCTTTTGTGAAGCACCTCGTTATTTTTATCTTGAGAGGATTTGTTTCTTTCTTTGTTAGTTCTGCGTTTCAAAATCCAGCTTTTTCAAATAAACACGTTAGTTTGAGAGAAAAGTATAGAAGACGACTTTCTGACAACATTCATGTTGATATTTTTCATTTATCTGCCGGTGGAACTGGAAGCAGAGCAGAAAGGAATCCTGCTGCCTTTCAGGGCAGAGCTGTGTTGACTCTGGACTAAAATAACTCTCAGGACGTGTGTGTGTGTGTGTGTGTGTGTGTGTGTGTGTGTGTGTGTGTGTGTGTGTGTGTGTGTGTGTGTGTGTGTGTGTGTGTGTGTGTGCGAGCGTGCGTGTGTGTGTGTGTGTTGAAAACAAGTGGTGCCATTGTTTATGACACACACCTGTTATGTTTTGGCTCTGACTCATATTTAACCCACTGGGCTCTCCGAACACTCAGCTTTGTTTAAAAACAAGATGGTGCATGGCTTGTATTTGACAAGGTGCCTTCTAGAGTCCTAGAGCCCCCCAAGGCACTTTACAACACAATCATTTACACACTGGTGGTGATGAGCTACGACGTAGCCACAGCTGCCCTGGGGCGGTCTGACAGAGGCGAGGCTGTAGGTGAGGTCGGGCGGGCGGATGCTTTTTGATGCTGATTGGTTAAAACGCTGGCCGAATGCTTCTCGTCAGTTTGTGTTGCAGCCTCTAGATGGAGCTCTAACATGTTGAGGGGATTGAAACGCATTAGAAACAACCTAACTATAAAAACACAAGTGGTGAAAGTCATAAAGAACAAAACGCTCCTAGTTTCTGAACAACAGTTTGCCCTAAAGGCTAATTGAACTTTGCCTTCTGATTATTTAGTGTTATCCTTATAATCATGATCAAATAAAATTCTAACATAAACATCGTTAAATTACTCACAGATGTTTAAAAATGAAGACAAACGATGAAGTAAACATGAAGAAGCGCTTTCTGCTGCAGCAGAAGTTTTCCCAGGCTGCTGAGGGAGTGACGTCATCATCGAGGGTTCATCTCCCTGCAGATTATCGGTTTAGGCCGTGATGAGGACAGCAGGACAGAGTCCAACCCAGTGTGAGCAGCATCATCAGGACAGCCAGGCGTTCCTGGCTGCAGAACATTTCTCATACTGTTCTGTACGTGCCGTCATCTCCATTGTGCCAGTTGACCCTAGTGACAATGTCCTCCCACACAGCAGACCTCACATGGAACAAGAGCACAGGTGCTCTCGGACAGGGATTCTCCTGGTCCTGGAGGGCAGGTATCCAGCATGTTTTAGTTGTTTTTCTGCACAAACACACCTGTTTAGCAGCTCATCGGGCTCTGCAGGGGCCTGGTAATCACCGGTTGATTAAAAGCAGGTGTGTTGATGCTAGTAAAACAAAAACACGCTGGATATCAACCCTTCAAGACCAGGATGGAGAACCCCTGGTCTAGGATATTAGGATGCTTTTCCCAAGATGCCTAGCTGGTTCCACAGGAGAGGAGCCTGATAACTAAAAGATCTGCCTCCCATCCTAATTTTAGATATTCTGGGAACCACCAGTAGACCTGCAGTCTGAGAGCGAAGTGCTCGGTTAGGAACGTATGGAACAATCAGATCACTTATGTATGATGGAGCTTGATTATTAAGAGCTTTATATGTGAGAAGAAGGATCTTAAAATCTATTCTGAATTTAACAGGTAGCCAATGTAGGGAAGCTAAGACAGGAGAGATATGATCTCTCTTTTTAATTCTCATCAGAACTCTAGCTGCAGCATTTTGGACAAGCTGAAGACTTTTAACTACATTCTGTGGACTTCCTGAGAGTAATGGATTACAGTAATCCAGTCTTGATGTAATAAATGCATGAACTAGTTTTTCAGCATCACTCCTGGAAAGGATGCTTCTAATCTTAGCAATATTCCGAAGGTGGAAAAAGGAAATCCTACAAACCTGTTTAACCTGGGATTTGAATGACATGTCCTGGTCGAAGATAACACCAAGGTTCCTTACTTTGTTCTCGGAGATTAATGTAATGCCGTTCAGGTCAGGTGATTGGCTAAGCAATTTCCTTTTCTGGATTTCTGGTCCAAAGATGAGAACTTCCGTCTTGTCTTGATTTAAAAGCAAAAAGTTTAGAGTCATCCAATTTTTTATGTCCTCAAGACAAGCCTGTAATCTACCCAACCGATTAGGTTCATCAGGGTTAATGGATAAATATAACTGAGTATCATCAGCATAACAGTGGAAGTTTATCCCATGCTGTCTAATGATTTTACCAATTGGGAGCATATATATAGTAAAAAGAATTGGTCCAAGCACTGAACCCTGTGGTACTCCACAAGTAACCCTGGAGTATGAAGAAGATTTGTCATGTACATTTACAAAATGAAATCTGTCAGACAGGTAGGATTTAAACCAGCCTAACGCTGTTCCTTTGATCCCTACAACATGTTCAAGTCTTTCTAAAAGAACATTGTGATCAACTGTGTCAAAGGCAGCACTGAGATCTAACAAGACTAGAACAGACACAAGATTCTTATCTGAGGCCATAAGAATATCATTTGTAACTCTCACTAATGCAGTTTCAGTGCTGTGATACTCTCTAAAACCAGGCTGAAATTCCTCAAACAGAGCATTAGTGTTTCAATACTCACATACTTGGGTGGCCACTATTTTCTCCAGGACTTTGGATAAAAATGGAAGGTTAGATATTGGTCTATAATTCATTGGGTCATCTGGATCCAGAGAAGGCTTCTTAAGTGAAGGTTTGATTACAGCAACCTTAAAATCCTGTGGTACATATCCATTTACTAAGGATAGATTGATTGTATCTAGAATGGGGGCAGTAACCAAAGGAAATGCTTCTTTAAGTAATTTGGTTGGGATTGGATCCAAAATGCAAGTTGAAGGTTTAGATGAAGCTAATATTTTTGATAACTCTGAAAGCTCAACTGGATCAAAACGGTTCAAGCACAGATGAGGTTCTACAGTCACCTCTGATGCTGCCTCACTTACTGAGGAAGAAGAAATCGCATTAGGGAGGATGCTAAAGACTTTGTTTCTAATAGAATTAATTTTACTTGTAAAAAATCCCATGAAGTCATTTCTGCTGAGGGCTAAGGGAATAGATGGCTCAGAGCTACGATTCTGTGTAAGTTTAGCAACTGTACTGAAAAAAAATTTAGGATTATGCTTATTCTCCTCAATTAATGCTGAGAAATAAGCAGTTCTAGTTTGTCTAAGCTTATTTTTATAAAGCACAAGACTATTTTTCCAGGATAGGTAGGCCTCCTCATGGTGTGTAGAGCGCCATGTTCTCTACAATTTCCTAGAGTTTTGTTTTAAGGCTCGTAAATGAGAATTAAACCAGGGAGCCAACTTCCTGTCCCTACTTACCTTCTTTTTTAAAGGGGCAACATCATGTAATGCCACACGTAAAGAGGAATTAACATGATGAACTAGGGCATCAATTTGTGAGGGGCTAGAACTGAAAATATTGCCCTCTGCTACATGCCTCTGAGATGCTGAGGACAGTAAAGATGGAACAGATGATTTAAAAGATGCAACTGCGTTGTCAGATAGAGACCGACTATAGTGAAATTTACTTTCATGTCTCGAGAACTCAGTTATAAAAAACTCAAAGGTTATCAGAAAGTGGTCCGAGAGGACTGGATTATGTGGAAAGATCGTTATTTCCTCACACTCTATGCAATAAGTCAGCACAAGGTCCAATGTATGATGGCAGGAGTGGGTGGAGCTATGTATTCTTTGAGTAAAACCAATTGAGTCTAAGATATTACTAAAGGCTACATTGAGGCTATTATTTTCAATGTCCATATGAATATTAAAATCCCCCACTACAATGACCTTATCAGTATTTAGCACCAAATCTGATAAAAAATCAGAGATCTGATCCAAAAACTCAGAGTAAGGGCCTGGTGGACGATATAAAACTACAAACAAGAGTGGTTTTACAGTTTTGCAATCTGGATTAGGAAAACTAAGAATAAGATGTTCAAACGAACTGTAACTATTAATTTGTAAGTGACTGATTAAGAAGAACTCTTCAGGTCCATCTGTGAGACCACACAGTGGAGCTGGAAGAAACAACACCCATTTGGAACTGGTTCCAGTTCTGCCTCCAGAGCTCCCTCGTGTGGGTCCCTGTGGTAACTACAGCTCCAGAGTCCAGAGTCTTTTCTCACCCCCAAGCTGGTTCCCAAAGTCAGAGACTCTCTTGGTCAGCTTGCTTCTCACACAAAACCTTCAGTCAGGAATCTTGGTGTGACCTTTGACCCAGCTCTCACCCTGGATTCTCATGTCAGTTCTCTTGTTGGCTCTTCCTTCTTCCATCTCAGGAACGTTGCTAAGCTGAGTCCCATTCTGTCCCACTCTGAACTTGAGACAGTTCTCCACACCTTCATCTCCTCACGCTTAGACTACTGTAACTCTCTTTTCACGTGTCTGAGCAGAACCTCCCTGAACCGTCTACAGGTGGTTCAGAACGCCTGTGCTCGGCTTCTGACCAAGTCCTCCAAACACACCCACATCACCCCGCTTCTCCTCCAGCTTCACTGGCTGCCAGTCAACTTCAGGGTTCATTTCAAGATCCTGGTTCAGGGGCCTCATTCATCAAGCTTGCTTACGCACAAAACGGGGTCGGAAAACTGCGTGAGCAACTTTCCACGCAAACTTTGGGATTTATAAAAGAAAACGTAGCGGAAAAATGTGCACAACTTTAGGTTGACTAAGGACCTGGCTTACGCACATTTTGGACATGGAGAGCACCTGCAGTGCTGCTGCTGGGAAAGATGCAATTACAAATAGCATCATCACTTGTACCGCTTCGTATCACACAGAACAAACTCCGGACCTCTCTCCCCCTGAGCCTGAGATCAGTGGACTCAGTAGTCTCCTTTAAACTCATCTGTTCAGGCTTTGGTGGGACCTTCATCACCCTCTCCTGGTTCTGCTCTTACTACCAGTTCCGCCTTTTCTGGGATCTACTGATCTCCCCCTTAATTTTCTACCTTTACTTCCATTTATCAATCACAATATTTGATTACATTTGATCATTTTTTAAAAACTTTGTTTTTGTGATGCACCTCATTTTTATTTAGAGGTGCTATATAAAAGATCATTTCCTTTCCCAGCTGCAGCTTTTTAGCCTTCCTCACTAGCATCTCAAGATGGTTTTTCTGTAGATTGTGTATTTCGGGCTCCCGTATTTGTTTTTATTTTCTTTTATTTTCCTCACATTGCATTTTCATTCATTACATTTTACTTGTGTTCAATCTTGTGATTTTTATCTTGAGGCGCTTTACAAAAAAATTAATCCTCTTCCACAGAAAGAAAGATTTTTTTGCTGCAATGAAACGAAAAGTTTACAAACTTCAGAAGAAATTAAACATTTAATGGGAAAAAAGGGTTTATTCAAACAAGTTCAAAGAAAAATATTTTAAATAGCATTTAGTCCTGTTTAATGTCTTCACTAATTGTTGATCGTCAGTCTGAATTTAGTTTCTCAACTTTTTATTTCTCTGGAGCTTTCAGCGTTAGACCCAGAACATTTAGTCAGCATTTAATAAATCACATTTTGTGCCATCACAATCATAACCTGATTTTAACAGGAACAGTAAAACTTGAGGCTTATCGTTTTATGTTTTATATTCCTGAAAGACAAAAGATCAGAGCAACAGTTTCTGAGAGTTATGGTTGTTCCTTCTGCACATAAACTAAAGTACGGCAACCCAACGCTAACAAAAGTCTATGCTTTATCTGTAAAAAATAAAGAAAAGAAAAGACTATCATAGTTAAAAAATAAAGACAAAACAAACATTTCACTGCCAAAACTTTTAAAAACGTGACCTTTTCCAACAAATAAACAAAACAAATCAAAAACAAAACAAATCAAAAAGACTTGGGTCAATCTGCTAGTAAGTCAACATTTGGCACTCCTGGACTTCCATACCACTAATACCTGCCTGAAAAGCATTCTCCTTCACAATAAAAGCACAGATGTCACATTGGGCTCGCTGAGATGATGGTGTGTGTGTGTGTGTAGGTTTATGTTTGGGGGGGGGGGTTAACTGGTGGCGTCTCAGGCTGTCGTTGGACCATCCTTCCTTCCTAGCTGACAGAAGAGAACCATGGAGAACGCCATGCCGAAAATCTGCAGTAGAGAAAAAACCTTGAATAAAGTTTCTTGTTTAGACAAAAAAAAATAAAAAACAAAACCAGTTATGGAACAACTGAGATCAGTTTCATCTAAACATTTACAACCAGGAATTATCAGCCGTTAGTTCATTAATCTGAGACAGCTTCTGTAACAGTGATGTAAACGTGGGCCAGCATGTGCGTGCGACGGGTTACCAGCAGGACGGCGACACCGAAGGCGATCCCCAGAGCCACCTGCAGGTTGGACTGCATCCAATTGATCATCCTGGTGTAGCAGGGCTGAAAACATGGAGTCACCTTATTAGTGTACACACACACACACACACACACACACACACACACACACACACACACACACACACACACACACACACACACACACACACACACACACACACACACACACACACACACACACACACACACACACACACACACACACACACACACACACACACACACACACACACACACACACACCAACTTGTAGACCCCAGCGTTGCACGTGTCCTGGTTGGTGGCCGTGGCGTTGCAGCGACAGGAATCAGGAAGGGCCGTCCACTCCTGAGGGCCGTCAGTGAGACCACAACACTGGAGCTGGAAGAACAATCAGAACTGGTTCCAGTTCTCCTCCAGACCAGATCAAGACTCTACAGCTGAAGTTTCTACAGTTTGGAACACCGAACAGAGCCGGCTGAAGGCTCGTTTTCGGCTTTCCTACTGGCTACGTTAACAACTGTGTTTTACTCTGTGATGTCATCAGGGTCAGACGTTTTCAGACGCGTGCCGTGTTCAGCACTTCAGGCGCCGCTGGCTGCTGAAAGCAATTTCCTCTGAGGTCCCAATCCCAGCTCTGACCAGAGAAAGCTGCTGTTGCGACCTTGAGCAAGACACTTAACCCGCCATGCCTGCTGGTGGTCGGAGGGACCGGCGGCGCCCGTGTATGTCAATCGCCTCCATCAGAGCGCCCCAGGGCAGCTGTGGCTACATTGTAGCTCATCCCCACCAGCGTGTGAATGGGTGAATGAATGACTGTGAAGTGCCTTGGGGGGTTGTAAACCCTAATAAGGAGCTCTACAAATGCATTTCCCCCAAGTTCATCATTCCTCTGAGATGAGGATTCAACTCTTACGGTTCTCTGCATGTTCTCCACATCTTGGATCACACTTGCTGGTTGTCTGGAGAGTGGTTGTAGCTTCTTGAACTCAGTCAGGATGCTGTCCTTCACCTGCACACACAATCAGCATCAATCCTCCAATCGCCTCAGGAGAAAACAGCCAAAAGGATGATGTCACTTCCTGTCTTACAGAGTTCTTGCCAACAGCTGAGAGGATTCCCGCTGCCAGCAGGAGGGAGAAGATGATGAGAAGAAAGATGAAGAACTGATGAAACAAACAAGCACAGTTATTACTGCAACATGTTGAGGAACAGATCATTAAAGCAAATCTGCTAAACAAACCGGACAGCTGCTATTATGTTGTGGAGATTAAAATAAAATTAAAAGCTGTTTTCTCGCATTGGTCTAAAAACAGGGTTCAGATTAAAGGGTGCCGGGCTCCCCCACAATCCCTCAATTCCTACATCCCATCCCCATCTCACTGGGTTCCCCGGAAGCCTCTGCATAGATCGTACTCTGACTAAAAACCTCCATCATCGACACGTTTCCCAGTTGTCGGTCTAGCCAAAACGCCGCACTTCCCTGGGTGCTCCACCCATCACACACTCGCGTATTCAGCAACAGAACACCAGTGGTGTGGGAGGTTCGCCGCTCAACAACACTAGAGAAGGAGAAACAGCTAAGAGAAGCTTACTGCTCCTCCCAAACCTCCATTTACGCAACTTCATTCGTTCTTATTTATTTTTTGTAAAAACAAAACAAATGGATCCAAGATCCCGGTTCCACGTTTTGGGTGAGACCAGGCAAGTGCGAAACATGAAAGGGTTCCTCACCAGCAGCAGCATGCAGCGGCTCTCCTTGTACGCTCCACAGCAGCCCAGGAAGCCGATCACCATGATGATGACTCCAATAGCGATGGTTAGAGGAAAGCTCGGAGCGCTTTCACCGCCAATCTGCAGATTCACGAGGTTACAAACACACGCGTTCATCAAATCCAGTGAAGCCTTTGATGTTTTAACGGTTTGAGAGTTCAGCGTTTAAAGGCAAAAGCAGTGACGTGTCGGCTGAGAGGTTTGGGCTGATGATGAAGAGCAGAACGATGTTGGAGCGTGAAAGCAAACATGAAGACATCTTACCGAGAGATTCGACTTTGTGACATGAAGGTAAATCCCGATGCCCAGGATGATGCAGCCGCAGATCTGAAACAAAACACAGTCGAGTCTGAATGGGTTCAAAAACAAAGCCATCCCGTGGTTTCTGCTGGAAATAAACGCCCGTCAGCACGGTCCGACGCAACGGACACGCATCAGAAACCCAAACACCCGATGGCTCCGCTGGATCCTCCAGCTAGAGCCGGAGAAAAAGGACCTCAGGGGCAGTTCTAGACTAAGATTAGAGGGGGCAGCGGGTCCCCATAAATGCTGACCTGGTCTGTCAGAGAGGCACATTAGTGTAAAAGTTGTATTTACGCATTTCAAATTAAGGATGTAACTAGGGCTGGGCGATATGGCCTCATATCTATATTGCGATATAATCTGAAGCATGTGTGGTAACGATATATATTGCGATATTCTTCTTCTTCCAGCACTTGCAGAGTACAGACGCTTCTGCTTTTGCTCCCTTATCTTTTTTCCCCCAAGGCTCTTTGTCCTGTCTGCCCACAGAGCGCTTCTCTGCATTCCTTCTGAAAAACCCTATTTTTTAGAATGGATTTAATTAACTGGTCATTCAACGCGATTGATAAGATTTTTTCTACGATGAGAACGGAGGAGGGGGCTCCCACTTGCCCGCAAGGGACACACGCAGTGGGATATATGCTGGATTCCTGGAGGGAGTGGAAGATCGTATGCCTCTCAGCTGTCCATTGAGGATGTCGAAGATGTGTGGATATTTGGCCTGATGATCACTGGATTTCTCCTGATTGGAGTGGGAGGATATCTGGTTTTCTGGAAATTTGGGAAGACTGGAGCAATTGGAGGGCGACCCGCACCCACGGAAAGCACCGTCCATGTGGAGACCTCACAGACTGGGACGTTACTCTAGGTGAATCGTAAGCTGGACAATGTTCTAGCTGCGATACCGCTATTAGTGCGCAAAATGGATGTCATCTCGGAGAGGGTCACGGGACGGGTGGAGATGTTTAAAACCTGAATTGGCTTCACTGAAGGACTGGAAATGATCAGTTGCAGACTTGAAGGCAGAGAGGAAAATTATCTCTGCCTGACCCAAACAAAGTCTTGTTATCCAAATCTGACGCCCTGGCAGCCTTGTGAATGCCAACAACAAACCCCCACGAAGGAATGCAGACAGATGCTGTGAAAACCTGACCTAGCCCCCCGCCTTCGGATTGGTGGACTTCAGCCTGGCGAGGTCATCAACCTGCAGGTGTCAATGTGCTCTGCGCTCCTCCCAAGATCTCCCTCCCACCTGTGGCTACAGTGGCTGAGCGCCATAGGGCTGCTCTCGCTGGGGAAGCAGGATCCCAGCCCCCTCTTGTTGCGAATGACCACAGTACCGATTCTTCTGTACTGCAACAATTGCCCCTCGGGGATGATTAAAGTTTTTTTTTATTTGAATTCCTCTGTTCATACATGTCTAAATGGCATGCTTTTAAATATCCTCATGTGGAAAATATATGCCACTTGAGGCATACAGGCCTCCTCCTCCACCCACTCCATGCTTGCAGTCACTGCCAATCTGTTGCCCCAATGTCAGCAGGGTGCACATCTTAGTGACGTCATGTGTTAACGCCATATCGCGGTTTTGCGATATAGCCAAAAACTATTTTTATTGTTTCTACCTTATATGGTTTATACTGCCCACCCCTAGATGTAATAACCATTTAGTTAAAGTGTTTTTAGATGCTTTGCTGAAGAGAGACACTTCTACTCTAAATAAGATGTTTTATGGTAACAAACGCCACAGTAAGAGTTTTAAACCGACAGCATTTTATATGAAATAAAGAGCAAGTTGCAGGTAAAATGTTTTTAACATCGAGGTGTAATGAATGAAAACTTTAAACCCATTTAAAACATTTTAGGATCTTTTAGATTTATAGATTCATTAGTTAAATTCAGTATAAATTTGAATTTGTTCTATCGGGATTAAAACAGCTGCCAAGCAGTTGAGCTGCTAGTTTAAGGGTTAATCTATGGGATTAAAATCCCCGGGAACCCCCCAAGGCACTTTACAACACAGTCATTCACACCCTGGTGATGAGCTACATTGTTGCCACAGCTGCCCTGGGACGCACTGAAAGAGGGAGTTTGCCATAGGCGCCAACGGTCCCTCCGAACACCACCAGCAGCCAAGGTGGATTACGCGTCTTGCCCAAGGGCACGTCAACAGCGACAGAATGGGCGGAGCTCAAACCTGCAACCTTCCGATTACACACAAGCACTCAACTGTGCCACCGCGGCATCATTTACTGCTGAGGTGAAGTTTCAGAGGTTCGTTGATTTCCTGCATGAACCCGACGTTCAGATTGAGTTTAAACGTTGCTGGCTGCCGTCAAAAACACCCACCTGACTTTCTTCTTCTCTACTTTCAAATCTGACTTTTGTTTTTGTTCCGCGTTTCTTCCAGTTTAAGTTTGTTCCAGTAGTTTAGATTCTAGTTTGTCTACGTCGCCATACCTGGAACCTCGAGCTTCTACGGGTCCACAACAATCAGCCAACCAGAAAATTAGTGTGTGTGTGTGTGTGTGTGTGTGTGTGTGTGTGTGTGTGTGTGTGTGCGTGTGCGTGCGTGTGTGTGTGTGACACTCTGAATCTTAAAACTCTGTTCATTTCCTTGTCTCTTCCCGATTGTTCTGACCGAGTCTACAGGAGGAGGCGAGACTCACCACACCCTGAACTTTTCGCTTCAACAGCACAAAAGCATCGCACCTTCCATCACACCTGACCAGTCAAACCAGTCAAGCCAGAACTCAGGAACTGCTTCCTCCAGCAGGAAACCTTCAGACGAGCCAAAAATGTAGAAACCCTGCTGGAAGCACCGGGAAGGCCGGAGCAGGTGATCAAGAGCATCCAAGGTTTGGTGGGGAGTTGTTTAGAGGTAAAAGTAGATAAACCTTTTACTTTTTTGACCAGATTAAAACACGTCAGCAAAGAGGATTAGAGATTAAAACTAGATTTTAAATTATTTAACTGACTATGATCTCAACCCAGAGGCAACAAAAACTAAAGTTATAAAAGTGAAAGAGCAGGAAACCAGTTCAGATAAACAAAATGTGTTTTAATCCCTTCAGATTAAAATCACGACATTCATAATCCTCGACATGAAGGATCCCATTACTCTGGGGATGCACCGATACCGATACCAATAGACATTTGTGCTTTTGAAATGAGCAGATTTTGTATAGGCTGAAAGTTATGCAAGCTGAATTTCTATAACACACACACACACACACACACACACACACACACACACACACACACACACACACACACACACACACACACACACACACACACACACACACACACACACACACACACACACACACACACACACACACACACACACACACACACACACACACACACACACACACACACACACTTTTACTTATTGGACCGATACAATATGTTAAAGACTTAACATCGGCCGATACCGATGCAGACATTGTGCATCCCTAAACTCCGAAAAATCTTCCAGAATCTTTGAAAGTCATGAAATCCACCCTGAAGAGGAACCAGAACCAAAGTCCAGGCTGTTGGACCGTGTCGGTGCAGAAAACTAAAACATGCTCCAAATCTTCTTGAGGTTCTGCAGAGTTTTACCTCCAGATTAACCCTCCCATTGTCCTAATGGGTGTGACCCCACGAGGAAAGTTGACCATTGAGCAGGATTGATGGTTCATCCCTTGAGGTCCATGTGGCAGGGGTGAGGTGGTGCTCACTCCTCACCCCTGCCACATGGACCCAATGGATAAACCATCAACCCTGCTCAATGGTCAACTTTCCTCGTGGGGTCACACCCATTAGGACAGTGGGAGGGTTAAAGGTGATGGATAATCTGAAATACAAAGGTGCCGGATGATGTAAACATGCAGTAATCTGGATCTTCCAGGTCATCTTCAATTAGAAAAACCTGCAGCAGAGGAACGCCCTCCAGGTGTGAGACAGGCTCATAAAACCCAGCAATGACCAGGATTATTTAAGATCACAGACTAAACCGACTGGTTTGTTCCACTTCATAAAAACTTCAAAGTTTGACAAACTTTATTCATAAAAACAAACATAAAAAAGTCTGAGTTTAACAGAATTATAAAAGCATTTGGATTTTAATTAACTGGGATTAAGTGTTTTACAGCAAATCCCTAACAGATTAGACCCACATCCCATAATTACATCAGAAGAAAGAATGCAGAATAAAGTAATGAGACTGAATTAGGAATATTTCTGAGTAAACAGTTAAAGGGGATTAGATCTTGTCTGTTTTAATTGAGTTGAATGAATAAAGGCTGAGTAAGCTTGATTCTATTAGAGCTTTTATTTTGTAGTTTTATTTTTAGTGTTGCTTTTTCGTTGTTTTAATCTTAGATTTACAGATTTAACAAATCCTTTGTTTTATTTCACTTCAACATCCTTTTGTTTTTCAGCATAAAACTGGTGCTTTTATTTTGACACCAGAAATTCATGGATGACAGTCTGTTGTTCTGTGGATGTTTCATCCCTCAGCAGCGACTTACAGGCTGAATCACCCCCACACCTGAATGTCCGTCTACTCCCGCCGGTTGGTGTGGAATGGGCAGACACACCCTCATGCTTACCACCCTGTTCAGACCTGCTCTCAGAAACCAGACACGCTTCAGACCCTCAGACCTAAATCCAAGCTCCTCCTCCTCCTCCAGACCACAACCAGGGGTGGACTGGGACCAAAATTCGGCCCTGGTGTCGGTACAAGATCTGCTCGGGTACAAAATCGGCTCGGGGTCCTTCGACTGCCGATGACGTCAAAGTACGGCAAACCCACTCGGACAAAATACACTACACGTCTATACTGTTGGAAAGAATTTAGCAGTTTCGTTATTAAAATAATGTTTCTAACGACGTAAGTTTGTGTTTATAATGGTATTTGTAAAATAAAACACTGTATTGTATACATAATGTTGAACTCCTCTTTGAGCACATCCCTTGAAGGATCATAGGTATTAGCAACACCTGTGAAATTGTATTTGCAGGAAAGAAGTGTGTCCCGTTTATTGAAGTATTTTGTGTTTAGAGTTTTTGACGTCTTGTCCATGTGTAGTTCAGTTACGCTCATAGCTGCTAGCCAAAACTCTGGAGTTAAACGTTTTCTGGCTTCACTAAAATACCTGTCTGTACTTATTTGATTGATGGTAGTTTTACTTTCTACTAGACTCCAAATGTAATCATTTGGCACGTTTATAATTCATAATTTGTAAGAATGTAATCGGTGATATTAGCATTTCTATGGGTTTTTCCATGTATATTAGCATTGCGCTAACCACTCGCTGCCAAATTGCAGCCTTTGAGATTAGAAAATCTCCTTTTGTCACATCGTAATTTAATTGCACATGCAGTTAATCGTTCAGCCCTAATATACATGCAGCTAAAAGTGTATTTTCAAAGAGGTAATGATGGATTTCTTTGTAAAAGTTGTCCATCTTTCCAACAGAAAAATTTGCCTGGACCAACGTAACGTGATAACAACGTAACGTGATTACGTCATTCCGTAAGGTTCATGTTCAGCCAATCAACTACTTTGACGTCATCGGCAGTCGACGGACCCCAAGCCGATTTTGCACCCGAGCAGATCTTGTACCGACACCGGCATTTTTACGAATCGTCGGCCCTCCCCATTGGGAGAGCGGTGGGGGTGGGGGGTGTTGCCGCCCACGAACTCGTCTCTAGGCCGAATGTGAGATCTAATATGGACTGGGACTGTTAAATTACAAGCTGGGCCAGACCGCTGCGACCGGGAGCCCTGGCCTTCCAGATCTGCTCATTCTCCACGGGCGGAGATCAGCGGGACATTAGCTACATGCTAACACAGTAAAACAACTCCTACATCATCACTCTACCGTGTTTTTCCCGCTAAAAATGCCTGGAAAAACTCTGTTAGCTTCAGGTTACCATGTAGCTAATGTTCTGCAGATCACCAACTGTGGAGTAGTGTCAACCCAAGCTGGGCAAGCAGCCACTTGGCTTAGCTGCCCACTGGGCCAGTGACAGAATGCCAGATCGGCCAATCAGCCCTGACCACAACTAAAGCTTCAGTCACAGAAGCAGAACTCCACGGTTCTGGTTCACATTTGAAAGAATCTGGAGCAAGTTTTCAGAGTTTCCGTGATAAAACGCAGCATTGGTGTGGTTTGTAGAACCTGTAGAAACACCTCTGGGTGCTCCGCTACGGTACCGTACGGGAGCAGCACCACACTAACCCAGATGGTCACTAATCTGGCCACAGATTAAATGCAGTAAAAGTACAATTTCAGTTGCTCAGCTTGTTTGACTGATATTCTTCCATGACTTTCCAGGTTGTTTCGACACTCCTGGTTGGGAGAAAACAGGAACATCTCCACCATTTTTGCTGTGAAGCCACGAGAACCCGCATAGGAGCCGCCATGTTGGATTAACGGAGTTTAAGAACTCTGGATGTGATTCTGAAAAACTGAAAACTACTCGAAACAAACTTATCACAAAAGCTTAAGTCGTTTAAAAATGTGTGCAGGTGAGTGGGCGGAGCTTTGCTCACCTGTTTTGGCTTAAATTCTTTTTAGACAACAAAGTTGAGGTCCTTCATCTAGTGGTTTTTGGTCATAGGTGTAAAACTGTGTTTTTTATTTAATCAAGAAAATCTCAAGTTTTTCTACGGGAGGGCGGGGCTTAAGCCGACTACTGCTGCCAGCCACCAGGGGGCGCTCCTCCTGTTGTGGCTTCTGCTAAATCTAGCCTCCATTCACTAGAATAAAAGCATCGATCCAACCACACCCATAAACATTTCTATCCATCTTCAGGACTTTCCCGTTCCGTTTCATTTGTTTTGACAGCTTTGACTCTCACTGGTTTATTTTCCACACGACATTTTAATCCTCAGAAAACCTAAAATTCATCAGTGCTTTCATTTAAATGCAGATTTTTAAGTAAAAATAATAAATGAATAAAATGTTCACATGATTTTTTTAGGTTAGCTCCAAGCTAAATACAAAGCAGCTCTCTGCTGACCAACAGGCTTTCAGGGTCGATAACAAAAGCTGCAAACACAGAAAATCAGATCCAGGAAGTAAAACCCAGCAGCAGGAAGCCGGGTGCTGCTTCAGCATCAGCTCCGTCATCGTTGACCTGAAACGACCGCAGCAGGACGCCGGGGATGAAGGTCTGAGCCACCGGAACCAGACGGGACGCATTCCCAGGTCCTAGTTTTGACTTTATGGTTTTCAGCACGTTCATATTTAAATCTGAGTTTATAATCTACTGTTTCACGTAGCAACATTGGTTTTAATGTTTGATGTTCTTGCACCTGGAAGCCACATTAAAGCTTCTGTGGAGGAAAAGTGCTGCAGAACTAAAGCTGCCCTGCCTTCCTTCAACAACTCTGTTTTTAAGCATTTCTGAAAGTTTAAATTCTAGTTTCTGCTGTGTCGGGATTTGCAGGGATTAGAGCTCTAATCTAAAACCCAACCCTGGTCCAGGAGGTGCCCTGGCATGTTTTAGTCGTTTCTCTGCTCCAGCGGGCCAGGACTGGAGAGCCCTGCTGTAAAGGGTTACAGTTCACAGGAAACAGAAGGCTTCTGCTGCCGACTGCAGGTCTGAGTTCCTCTGAAAACGTTCAGACAGAAGAACCACATCCCTGTAATCTGGATTATAACGTTAAACGACTGGAACAAAAAGGTTTTGTTCGGTTTCGTATCCCAGAGGTTTATTTGAGGTTTTTATGGGAGCGAGGCAGAAGCCAGATGCAGAAGAACCACACCCTGAAACCTAGTGACTTTACTGAAGGGCAGGTCATGACCAGCAGAACCGGTTCTGCCCACGGCTCGCGTATGGAACGAGGTCAGGACAGACAGGAAACACGTTCCGGTAAAAAAAACCGGTTAAATTCATCTAAAGGGCTAATTAAACTAAGTAAAAGGCTTCATCTGATTCAAACAACTAACGATTCCAACTTAAAAGTGCATCCCTGTGACCTGAGAGGTTCTGAACTCACCCAGAACAGAAGGTTGAAGATGAAGAGCAGATATTTGATGCATTTATTCACAGCCATGGCTCTTCTTTTCTCCTTGTTGCTCCTCAGAGAACAGCAGCTGCTCAGAGTGAAGACGAGGACCTAAACAGAGGCTGGTAATCAGATCAGCACCTGTACCTCCTCCTCGTGCTCCTCCTCCTCCTCCTTCCCTCCCACCTAGCTTCTCTCTTCCTGTCCTGTCTCCTTTTTCCCCTCCAGGAACCAAAGTTAGAAGATTTTTCCACAGATTTCCTTCTTTTCCAGTAGAAATTTCCTCCAAAAGGTGGAAAAAGAGCCACAGATGGAGAAAAGCTACAGGTAGTTTTCCATTTGAGCCCAAAGGTGTTTGAGATTTACCTGATGATGCCCCACCCACCTTTAAGCAGCAGCTCACCATATTAGGACTTCTGGTTCGACTCTGGCTGAGGCAGTCCCAACATTCCTTGAAGGAATCTCCCACCAATTTTCTGAAGAGATGATCTGAAGAATGGAGAAAGTTTGTGTCTGAACCACCAACACGTTTTCCTCAGAAGTGAAAAAGCCAGTTTCAGTGAAGATGAAAACCTTCAAACTGCTGTGAAGAGTAGTAAAGATACCTGCTAACGCTGACCCGTCCTGCTCGTCTCCACACAGTCGCTGCTTCAGCCACGCAGGAGCGGCCTGGTTAAGGTCACTGGTTCCTGTTACCAGCCTGGTTCTGGTGGAATGATGTCTTACTTCTACAGGTCTGGGTGTGGCTGGAGGGGCTCAGCTGTTCAGGCAGGTTTTGGTGTGACCTTCATCACCCTCTCCCTGTTCTGCTCTCCCCACCTATTCCACCTTCCTCAGGATCCACTGATTTCCCTCTTTCCTGTTCACTCTCTCTCTTTCTCTACATTTTAAATCACAATTGTCTATTTTTTGCTCATTTTAAATATATTTTAATCATTCTCTAAATTCTTTTTTACATTTTTTGTTTATGTGAAGCGCCTCGTGATTTTTATCTTGAGAAGCGCTATAGAAATATTTTCTTCTTCTATTGTTAAAATCTGATGTTAGCCTAGATCTGGACAAGTGGGGGATTACAGGGAGGTGGAGTGTACAGTCGGTAAAGACGGCTCTCCCTTGCCCTGCCTCCAACATGCCTCCATCTAAATAGGATAGATGATCCAGAGTTATCTCTGTAGTTATGCTGCTATAGGCTTAGACTGCTGGAGGACACACTGACCACTTTTCACACTCGACTACTTTCTTCTACTATCTGCTCTTTAACTATATTATTTCCTGCTATTTCAGCTGTTAACTTTATTTTCTCTCTAAGTGTTTTTCTCCCCAGAAGAAGCTACAACGATGTTCTGCTGAGCTGTGGTGGCCTCATGGAGGGGGCCATCGTCTGGCACACTGCTGCTAACCACTTAAACATTCTCTCTCTCCTGATAATAACTTTTTACGCTCTTTGACGTTGGATGTGCTACTACTAGTTTACCCGTTTAATTATAGATCCACTAGGATACATACAATAAAGTTTATCTCTCACCTAATAGAATATTTACTAAGACATCACAATATAACTATAGACACACTACTTGGTGGGTGTGTGTGTGTGTGTGTGTGTGTGTGTGTGTGTGTGTGTGTGTGTGTGTGTGTGTGTGTGTGTTGGATTACCAGCAGGATGGCGACGAGGAAGGTGATTCCCAGCACCACCTTCAGGTTTTACTGCATCAGCTTGATTACCTTGTCGTAGCAGGGCTGCACACACACACACACACACACACACACACACACACACACACACACACACACACACACACACACACACACACACACACACACACACACACACACACACACACACACACACACACACACACACACACACAAAACTAGTTTCCTACCAGCTTGTAGATTTCAGCGTTGCACATTTCCTGGTTGGCGGTCGTGGCATCGCAGCGACAGGAATCAGGAACCTTGGAACACTCTTCAGGTCCATCTGTGAGACCACACAGTGGAGCTGGAAGAAGAAACACCCAGTTGGAACTGGTTCCAGTTCTGCCTCCAGAGCTCCCTCGTGTGGGTCCCTGTGGTAACTACAGCTCTGAACATATTTTTGGCTCAGCTGCAGATTTTAGTTTACTTACAGTTAGCATCTGTTTGGCACCTTTAAATTGGATGAATTGGTTTATTTGTTAGACTGTTTCCTAGGAGACTGCTGCTCCTCCCAGTGCATTCTGGGACTTCTAGTTCTACTGTACACCCACAGGCCTTCAGTAACATACCGACTGCAGCTCACGCAGCAAGAAGAGTCGGGCAAGGAGAGCTCACTACGTGTTCCTGTTTCTATTTTAGGTTTCATCTCACAAATGCTTTTCACCAGAAGACCTGAGCTGATGTCAGTTACTAAATAAAGCAGCAGGTTCGAGGTTTCTGTGAGTGGACGAGAAAACATTTGGTTGTTCTCTCAGTGAGAAGGATGGCTGAGCTACATGTGGACATCCTTCTTCTCAGATCAGGCAGAGCAGAAGAGAACGGACCAAGGAAGTATAACAGTTTCACCAGAATATGCTTTTTTTGAACACTGAATTTTTTACACTAAACATATTCTTTGAATTGACGTATTTGAATCTTTTTTACTCAAAATACACCAGCAACAATGTGATTTCCTAAAACTCATCCGCAGATTTTCATCTTTAAAAATTCAACAACATAAGTCCAGCAGAAGATTTATATCTGCTTAAATTCATCTGCAAATTTTCACCTTTAAATATTAAACAACAGAAGATTTCATCAGATTTTATTCAGCAGCAGGTTTTCAACAGCAGAAATCAGGTGACCTCCTGGTGACCCAAGCCACGCCCATCTACTGTAGCGTGGCGAATTAGCCACACTTTATTAAAGGATCAATAAGATGTGATATTCCATATAAATAGGAATTATTAATCTGATTGCTCTTAGGCCCTGTCCACACGTAGCCGGGGATCTGCCAAAACGTAGGTATTTTTCTACGTTTTGGCCTGTCATCCACAGGAAAACGGAGTTTTTTCACACGAAAACGGATCTTTTTAAAAACTCCGGCCAAAGCGAAGATCTGCGTTTTCTCTGTTTTGGGTGTCTGCGTGTGGACGGACAAAACCGGAGTTTTAAGGTCCGCAACGTCACTTTCCGCGACAAAAAAATGCTGACATCACGTGTGCGACCTGTGTTTACACTAGCCGACAGCATGGATGCCCTTAGAGCTGCGCTTGCTTTATCATCGTCCAAGCGCTTTCTGCTCGTTTGTTTTTGCAAGCAGAATTACTGCTCCTTGCGGAAGACCACAGACGAAGGACGAGGTTAAGAACGGGGGAAGTACTGCCGCCTACAGGTCTGGCATGTCCTTAACAACGTATTTATCCGGGTACGTGTGGACACAGTTTTTCTTTTTTAAACGAGGTGGTGTGGATGCAAGTTTTTGGAGGGGCGGAGATTCATTTAAAAAAAAACCGGCTACGTGTGGACTAGGCCTCAGATTATTTGATTTAATATTACCTTTAGGTTCTTTAGATCAGCCTTTCTCAAATGGGGGTACGCGTACCCCTGGGGGTACCTCCAGGGGGTACATCAGAGAAGCAGACTGTGTCTAAAAAAGACCTTGGTCACAGCAGTTGCCTCCCTGCCACCAGGGATGAAAAAGATCCTCAGTGAAGCACAAGCCCAAGTGTCTCACTAAAAAGTCTGTAAAAACACTCCGATCAGTGCAGTAATGTTAAGATTTCAGTCTTCTTTTTGATTTTTAAAAATATATTTTGAGATTTACATTTGTTTTTAGCAATTGTTATTTAAAATGACGTTGATGATTTCTTTTAGAGAACAGATATACTATGATCCCAAAAGAGAACACTTTATGTTGATATGCTTTTTATGAGCACAAATCTTTAATTATAATTAGCTTAATCATTTCTTTGGCCTGTATTTGATATATTTTTTAAAAATATTTCTAGTTATATATATATTTTTTCCAAATAGTTCAAGAGATACTACAAAAATGTGCAGTGTTTTGCACATTTATGGATTTTTCAATGGGTAATCTTATGGTTTTAAATGGTTTTATGGTGACTGTTTCCAATTAATTAATTAGAATCACATTTTAGTGATGAAAAATATTTCCAATACATTTAGTTATGGAGTATTAACATTTAAAATATTCAAAATAGTTTTTTTCCCAAATGGTTGAATTTTGTACTTGTTTCAATCAATCAATCAATCAATCAATCAATCAATCAATCAAAGCTTTATTTATAAAGCGCCTTCCGCAACCCTGTCAGGAAGCCCAAAGCGCTGAACATGGTACAGTTAACTGTTTATCAGTTTCAAAGTTTAATAAATCAGTCACTGAATGCACCTATTTAAGGTCTTGTTTTTTACAACCAAAAATGTTTTTGCGCTGATTAGGGGTACTTGACTGAAAAAAATATTTCACGGGGGTACATCAGTGAAAAAAGGTTGAGTACCACTGCTTTAGATTATTCAGGGAACACACACTTCATATGAATTCAGACAGAGTGAGGATATAGTTTATAAAAATGAATTTAATAATATATTTCTAAACTAACGAGGACACAGAACAAATCACGATAAATGATGGTTGGACAAGATAACTGAATTGAATGAAATAGTGGAATGTAAGGTAGATGTTTTATAGCAAAACCTCATTAAGTATCTGAGAGATCTTGTCTGGGTTGTAAAATCAGTGTGTATCAGTATCAGATTGTATGGTTTAGCAAGCTGTAGATCATTCATGAAAAACCATCCAACACCTATGTGCAGGTCTACGATACTCAAATGCGTCTTTCCCCCCGAAGTCACGCCCATCTTCTATTTCCGCACCACGGGTCCCTGGAAGAACAAAAACATGAATGCAAGTCAACGTAGCTAAAATCGCTATTTTCTAATTCCGCTTGTTTTGTGCCATGGATTTCCCAAATGATGTCTGTGAATTTTAAAGAAGCATTTGACACCAAGAAAGCACTTATTTTTGAACAGGGTAAATGTTATTTTAGGTTTCGCGTGAAAATAAGTCCAGGACTACAAATGCGCTTCACAAAAGTGATGTCGTCAAACCAGACATGGAGAAAAACTAAGGAAAAATGGCTGTAAGTTCAGCAAATTTCAAATCCTTTCAGGAGGAAAGAACCACCATGAATCTGGTCATGTGGTGAGTAGCAGCTACGCTAGGGGGGAGGAGATTATGTGGTGACATCACATATGCGACGTGCCGATTTCTGGAGTGTAGTCATGCTAATAACAAACTTTTACAAGCTGATAAATCTCAAAGTACGTGACTGGCGTGGTCCAAACACCCATCATTAGTTTTCATTTAAATTGCAGTACAACACATGCAGGGTCCGAAATTAACACTCGCCATTCGCCAAATGCGAGTAAATTGCTCCATTTGGCGAGTAAATTTTTGAGCTCTATCTGCCACATGGCGAGTAAATGTTTGCACCAAATTAGTTATGTTTATCACTCATCTTCCCGGATTTCTGATACTCCTCACGCCTGCATGCACAAACGTACGCGAAACGTGAACGCCGCATCCAACTTCATTTCCACCTATCCCATTCAATCAGTTTATGAAGTTAGCCGTTAGCTTCGTGTTAAAACTAGCGGTGAAATGTGGCGGTTTTTAACTGGAGTCAGCCAGCCTTCCAAAAGAAAACTCGTCGAACTGGAAGAAAAACCACCAGGACCAGTGGCAACCAGAAGATTTTGTGAAAAGTGGCGAACTGGAGATGGCGGAGTCGTGAGACAGGCTACATTATGATGGCCACGTAGCGTTGCTGCCTTTCACAGACAACTGGCCCTCGGCATTCTTCAAATATCCAAAAAAATGC